GTACGAGTTGTGTTGAGCTATTCATTAGTCTGTTTGATGAGAAAATTATGAAATTTATCAAATGGGTTATCAATCCGTACAACTGCAGCAGCGGAGGACTATTATTCTGCTGCGTGATACTGCGGAAGAACTGATGAAGGCACGGTTTGATCTTCGGCTGACCAATCAGCAGAAAGGGGCGTTTAAATCCCGCCCACATGCAGAAATCGAATATTCAAGCTGCTTATTAATTTTTCCACCCATGAACGAAAAACGTAAATTTAAGCTGAATTCTCGTTTTTCGTTTTTTGGAAAAAAAACGAAAAAATGAAAAAGGAGCCATTTTCTCATTTTTCTACTTTCAATATTAAATCAAAAAACGAATGATCGAATGATACACAGATTCAAGTAGTTCATGTAGCTAAATTTACACAGTGATTGCAAAATTTGTCTCATTTTTAAACCGCCAGTAGGTGGCAGCAAGTCCCTGTTTTATGATTCACTGAATCATTCAAACAATTCATTCAAAAAGGCTGATTAAATTAGAAACGAAGCAAGTGACTATCTTTATGAATGGATAATTGAATCTTTGGCTCACTCTATTTGCTCAATAATTCAGGAAGAAACACCACAGTGTTGCCCTGCACTGTTGTATAAAATGAATAGCACATTTGCGATCGCCCACACATGCTGATATTATGCTATAATTATATAAAGAATGCTTTGTGTGATAAATATAAAAAAGTAAAACTCATACAGGGATATTTTTTCTTTCATTACTTGAATTATAGGGTCATTCTGACTGCATTCTAATAGGCTTCATCATGCAGTGAATGCTTTTGGAATGTTTTTTTTGTTTAGTTTTTTGCAAAGTCAGTGACGTATTTGATCATGTCATCTCTCAGTATCGTCTCTCTGTCTCTCAGTCACAAATACAGCACAATGATGTTATATCAAGAAAATGTCATACCTTCTGATGTCTTCTTTTTTAACAGCGTCAAAAAAGTTGCTCTTGAACCATTTTGTGAGGAAAAATAATGAAAACTTGCTTGAGCTTTTGCACAGCTCCTTCTGGCCAATC